GGGCCAGTGAAGCAACGTCCTCCACAACTAGACTAAAGAACAAAAGGACAGCAACTTGTCTGTTCCCCTTCCCCCAATTCCCCAGTGCTTTCCCATCCCCCAATTCCCCAATTAAAAAAAATCAATTGAATGGGAATTTACTTAATGCCACTGAGCTATACACTTGAAAATGGTTAAAATGATAAATCTTGTATAGATTTTACCACAATAAAAAAGTCAATTGAGATCTATGTACTAGCAATGTCTAATTAGAAAAATAATAAAAAATAATCACAAGAGCTAAAACAAAGTACTAAGGAATAAATAATAAACTTGAAAAACGTGCAGGACCTAAAAGTCATGGCCAAGAGACCTAAAGAAAGACTTTCTGAATGAAGAGTTATACTTCAATCTGTAAAGATTTTAAGTGAAAGTAACTGATCCCAAAGCAATTCTTTCCAGAACACAATAAAATGCCTATGGTATTAAGATTAAAATAAGTTTACAAGTGCAAAGCAGTTAGTCTTAAAAGGACTTCTGTGGCACTTACTAAAATGTTTTGAATGTTCATCTGGGCAATAAAACCATTTGTTAATACACTCAACACTCAGCTGCATATAGCTCCTTTCTCCTGAAACAGTTCATACTTCATTCAGGATATAGCGACCTAGCATCTTCGAGAGTTTTGATAAGGTTGATTCTGACAGTTTTCGCCAGGATTTTCAGTGTTCCTGGGAAAAGACTGTCCCTAGAGTTCCCTATGCTACCATTTTTGCAGACATCACTCTTAAGAGTTGTCTTTTTATGCCAACTTTTTGGGGGGCACATAATATACATATGATTCTACATATGGAAAATGTGAGAAATATGGCCATTGGGGGTCTTCAGAGGGTTCAAACAACACTAAATGGCCAGTTGGAAAAAAACGGTGAAAACTATATATCAAGGTGACTTTGCATTGTTCTGTTATTCATACAGATGTTGAAATTGAGAGTGATAATTTCAATTGAGGAGTAGAATGGATAAAACAGAATTGGAGACTACAGCCCACCTATGTACATAAGGAATGACACAGAAGTCAGAAGACAAAAGCAGAGAAAAGGACAGTGATATATAATGGCATTAGGTTTCAAATGAGGAATGGGAAATATTGGGCTGTCGAAAAAGTCATGACATATTTTTCTGTTTTTCTTTGCAAAAATGCATCATGACTTTTCCAACAACGCAATAGTTGTGAAAACATGTTTATTAAGAAGTAAACATTTATTTGGCTGGCTGACCATACAAAGAAAGATATAACATCTTAAATTTAAAATAATTTCTATCTATTCAGGAACAAAAGTGTAAGGTGTGTTATTGCCATAATGATTAAATACGGTTCTTATTTTTTGGACCAATGTAAGAAAAAAACAACAATAAAAATAAGATGAGAAAGAGACTCAATATCATCAATAGAAACCCAATTAGAATATAAAAGGTTGGCTGGTTAAAAAAGATACATATGTAGGGCCGGCCGAGTGGCGCGATGGTTGAGAACTCGCTTGGGATGCCAGAGGGCCCCGGTTCGGATCCCACATATGAGGGCCAGTGACACTGCCCTCCACAGCTGGGATGCTGAACGGCAGCTCAGCCTGGAGCTGGGCTGCCGTGGGTCGCCGGCGACGGCGACGGCGTAGGCTGCAGTCCCTGTGGCAGTGGGTTGCCATGGGCTACCGTATGTAGCCAGCAGCCAGCGTGAGCGGCCAGCAGCCGCAGTGAGCGGCCGTCCAGAAGCCGGCGACTGATCTGCCTCGCCAGAGAAGAGCGCAATGATGATGCCAACTTGGGCCAGTGAGGCGACGTCCTCCACAGCTAGACTGAAGAGCAAGACGACAGCAGCTTGTCTGTTCCCCTTCCCCCAATTCCCCAGCACTGTTCCCATTCCCCCAATTCCCCCAATAAAAATCTTTAAAAAAAAAAAAAAGATACATATGTAAAGTCAACTGATCTTCATATCTGAACAACAACTTAGGAAATGTTATAAGCAGTCACTCACATCACAGTAGCTGAGACAAAATAGCAAATAAATAATAAAATGAATAACTTGTAGGACTTAAACGAAGAACATGATCAAACATAACCAAAGGGAGACTTGCCAAATGAGGAGCTATAGCTCAATATTGAATAGGCATCATGTGTCCCCAAATTAGATTGTAACTGTGATGAAATTGATTCCAAAGGGACTCTTTCTGGAACATAAAAAATTGCTTATAGGGTAAATATATGCCTTTTAATTAAGTTACAAGTGTAATGTAATGAACCCCAAGAGAATTCCTTCTGGAAATTAGTAAAAATGTAAATGCTCTCCAGGCAATAAATACATTAAGTTATGAGTACAGCTATGCACACTGGGCATCTCCCACCCACCCACCCAACAGTTCATTCATTCATTCATTCATCAATTTTTCATTGAGTGTCTACTGAGCATAAGAGAGTGTGCATAATACAGAGAAAAATGACAAGTAAAAGACATATAAACAGTGCTGTACTAATGGGATTTCCACTATGTTCCTATGGGAGGATTTTGGAGGAAGGAAGATGAATTGGCTTCAAAAAAGTAACATCTACAATCAAGTGTGCTAAACACTATGGGGGGGGCGTGAATACAAGTGCTATGAATTGCAGAGTGGGAGGCACCAACATAGTGGAGTGAAGGGGTAACTGTGAGGGGAGTGTTCTGATTGAATTGTGTCCCTCCAAAAAGATATGTTGGCACCCTAACTCCCACAGCCTGAGAATGTGACCTTATTTGGAAACAGGTTCTTTATAGAAGTCATCAAGTTAAAATGAGGTCCTGAAAGTGGGCCTTAATCCAGTGACCGGTGTCCTCATAAAAAGAGGAAATTTAGACACACACACACACACACACACACACACACACACACACACACGCAGAACATGATGTTGATGAAGGCTGAGGTTGGGGTGATGCTTCTACAAGCCATAGAATACCAAAGTCTGCCAACAAACCGCCAGAAGCTAGGAGAGAGACATGGAACAGATTCTCCCTCAACCCTCAGAAGGAACCAACCCTGCTGACACCTTGATCTTGGACTTCCAGCCTCCAAAACTGAGAAAATTCATTTCTGTTGTTTAAGCTGCCCCGTCTGTGGTCCTCTTTTTTGTGTGGCAGCTCTAGCAAACTAAGAAGGGTGGGAGGGAAGTAGTATGTTATATATAAATGCAACAAGTCACATTTCATTACAGACCCAAGAGAGAACTAACAGGAAGTTAGGTGAAGTCGGAACTGGGGCAGGGGAGTGTTCTGGGCAGAAGGAGTTAGATCTGCATATATTTTTTATTTTCTGTATTTTATGATGTTTTGACATCTTAAAAAGCTTGCTGGCCAAGAGAGACTGTCCTTCCCAGGGCTAGCCTGGGGACAGCAAAGATCTTCTTCAAGCAACATAAAACCAACTGATCCTAAGTCTACAGACCCAGCCACCACATCCTCATCTAACTCTCTGCACTAAATCATCCCAGGGCCAGATACCAGACACCGCCCCTAGAGCACAAAGCCCACTGGAAGTATTCTCGCTAGCCAACCCTGAGTTGCTTATGCTGTCATTCCTTCTCTTTCCCATGGAAACCTCAGCACAGGCTTTTCCCTCACGCCTCTCTTTTGCCACCTGACCAAATCTGCTGGTGCTTTCCCTGTGGCCCTGCATGGCATGTGGTGACCCCTTCTCTGGGACTTGTGAATATAATAAACTTCTTCCCTCCAAGCCTGGTTCTCATTCTCTCCTGTGGCCCCACAGCTTTACCAGACCATACCCAACATTTACGCTTTTAGGACACTGCTGATTTCAAGGAGAGTATCAGAGCGGGGAACTGCAGAGGAGGGAGCATAATGTCTAACTCACCTCCGTGAGTGATGAAGATGCAAAGTTACATACTTTCAGAAGTCTTTCTGGCAAAATACTAGCAAGGACTAAAAGTTACTGAAAGATTCAATGGACCAAGTACCTCTTCTGTGTGACGTATCTACCTTAACTCACTGACAACCTGCAACCAGCTTGAGAGTGCTGTATCATTAATAACTCCATTTTACAGTGAGGAAAATGAGGCAGAAGGTTAAGTACTATATTACCCATCAATAAAAAAAACCACCCTTGCCAGAGATCCCAAAATATTTCCTACTAGTTCCCAACCTCTCTTCCAACAGCTTTGAGTAAGTGGGTTGAGAGAACCATGAAACAAACTGGAAAAGAATGTGGGGTGGGAAATGCACCTGGAAAAAAAGAAAGGGGGGGGCATGCACCTGCTTTAAGGTGGAGAGTTCTCGAAGAGCAACTAGCAAAAATAGCTAGTTGCTGAACAGTTTGTAAAATAGCATACCGGAAGACAATAAACACACAAACCCAAAATAATAATACTCGTATATTATTTTCTGTGGGGATATGTATATATAAATATACAAATACATTTACTGGGGTTTGTGTGTATTTATATTTATAAGTATAAATATAGTATGTATATATGAAATGTAAGTACGTATATGCATATATCAACATATTTACATGTATGTGTATATTAATATATTTATATGTATACACAAGTATATATATGTATACACTCATGTCCCCACAGAAAATACATATTATTACTTGGAGCTTGTATTTTTTTTTTTTTTTTAAGATTTTTATTGGGGAATTGGGGGAGGGGACCAGCCAAGTTGTTGCTCTTCAATCTTCGTTGTGGAGGGCGCCAGTTGCCATCTGGCTTCCCGTGGGCAGCTCGTGGCCTCTAAGCTCAAGGTGCTGTGTTCAATCTTAGTTGCGGATGGGCATAGCCACCATTCCATGGTGGAGTCGAACCAGCAGCCTTGTTGTTAAAAGCGCACACCCTATCCACTGAGCCATCCTGGCCAGCAGCTCAGCTCAAGGTGCAGAGTTAAGTCTTACTTGCTGGTGGGCATAGCCCACCATCGAACAGGCAATCTTGTTGCTACACCAGCTGAGCCATCCTGCCACCTGTTGGCAGCTCAGCGACAGCTCAGCTCCGAAAGCGTCACTGGCCCATGTGGGAATCGATCTGGGAGCCCCGTTGCTCAGAACCTCCCCCACCCCTTAGGCCAACTCAACCCTCTGAGCCACTCAGCCGCCCCTGGAGCTTGTATTTTTATTGTCTCACGGCATGGTATTTTAAGTATTGATCCGCAACTTGCTTATATCATGTATAATATACTTGTGTTACTATAAAAATCAGGACACTGAACATTTAAACTGCTTGCTTCTTGGGGAAAAAGACCGAGATTGCGTGTAATGGTCAGCCGGGACCTTAGGCCTTCTCGAGGGCAGCCGAGAGAGGCGCGCGTGAGCACCGGCCGAGGTACAACGGGGCGTGGAGCGGCCACAGCTCCGCTGCCCCGACGGCCGCAGCCCGAGGCCCAGCCCACTAGGGCGTCCGCTCCGGGTGTGAAGTCCGCGCAAGATCAGCCCACTCTTCAAACCCGGAAGGGGGAAGGGTCGGAGCCTGCGGCAGGGCCCGCCCCCTATAGCGGCGCGCCGCAGTCCGGGCGGGACTTCCGCTTCTCAAGTGCTACTTCCCGACTTAGTGGTGATCACGGCGGGAGCCAAGTGCAGCGGCAGTGGGCTGGCAGGTGAGCTGGGCTGCGGCCTGAACGGGGGCGGCGATGCTGGGGGGCAGCTCCGGGAGCGCGAGGCAGAGGGCGACGGGGCGAGGGTTGTGCCTGCGCCCCCTGTCATGGACGTCCCGGCTGAGGGCTTGGACCCCAGGCGTGATGGCGAGGGGCCGGCTTGGATAGCTGGGCAGTGGGAACTGCTTGTGAAAGAGCAGAGCGCGTGTGTGTGTCCAGCTCACCTCAGCAAACCGTTGAAAAGAAAAGCCACAACCGTCACAAGATCCTCTCGCCTCCAAGCTGGAGTGTAAGGGATGGCAGAGGAAGACACTCCCACGGGGCTCAGAGTTACTCTGATTTGGAAGATGACGCTCAGCCCACGGCGGCTAGAATCGAGTCTCCCAGGAGCCAAGACCAAAGGATCGGAGCTAATCAAAGAAAATAACGGTGTTGGGTAACAGTTACAAAGAGCCGGGCATAAATAAGTCAATTCATTTAGTCCTCACTGGAACCTTGTAAGGTTAGGTGGTAGTAGGATCTTCTTTACAAACGAAGAACTGAGGCACAGGTTAAATGTTTTGTTTCAAAGTCGCAGCCAGCAGTGGCAGAATGCCCTGTAAATGTTAAACTGGTTACAGATGTAATTTTTCGAGTTGTTTGTAATGTTGACACATTGGAGACACCTAATTTTCGTTCAGCTGAGGGAATGGCTACATTAACTATGGAATATCCAGTTATGGGATACTATGTTATACTGTCATGGGAAGTTCTCCAGGATGTATTGTGGAGTGGAGAACAAAATGCAAGTTGCAGAACTATATGTATTTAGTCCTTCTTTTATGCAAAAACAAACCCTGAAAACAATGCCGTTTTATTTTGGTACAAATTTGTCTGTGTAAATGAATATTAAAAGAGCTGGAATATACACTAACTTGATAATGGTGAATAGGGGAGAGTTGGGAGACATAGGTATTATGGGAGTTACGTTAAAACAGGACTTTATCCTTATTCATGAAGATTTTTTTTGGTGTGGTCAGAAAAAAATATATATACTTTACATTGTAAAATTGATATATTCTTTTATATATGTATATATTCTTTATATAAAATAAAAATTAATTTTATAAAAGTTGACTAAAAGTTACATTTTTATCCTTTGAGCACTCTCTCTGATACAAATGACATTTGAATAATTCAAGAAAATCCACTATTAAGGGCTGAAAATTTGAGGGTTGTAAGAATATGAGCATAAAAATAAAGCATTCTCAGGGAATCCCCAAAGAGAACACTAAAAGTCATTTTAAGGCCGGCCAAGTGGCTCAGTTGGTTAAGAGCTCACTCAAGAGTGCGAGCTCTGAGCAACAGTAGTTCGATTCTCGGCCCAAGCTGAGCTGCCGCTGAGCTGCCAACAGATGGCAGGATGGCTCAGCTGAAAAAAAAAAAAAGTCATTTTAAACAGTGCAGTATTTCATTGTTTAGTCTTGACAGCTTAAAAAAAAAATCATTGTTACCCTAAAACTGCTATAGATCTACATTACAAACTTATACTGGATGGAAACTCAGAGGCATTAAATAATGTTAGGTACTTGTTCAAATATTCATCCTGATATTTTAGTTGAAATATTTTATAACATAACTTTAGAAAACATAACTTTTATTACTCATAAAGTTACTCACCTTATTCGGGAAAGTAAAAAGGAAAGCAGAAATAGATATGCTCACCTGAAAAGTTCCTGTATATCTGGGACTTCTCGTCATATGGTCGATAGGACCCCATTAGTGAAGGTTCTAATCCTGATGACATCACAACTGTTGCTTGGTAGCCAGTCAGATCAACAGAATTTTCACAAGACCTTGGCTTAGGCCATTTCTCACCATGATGAGATGCTGAAATCTATTAATAGTTTAGCATATGTATTAATTATTGCTGTGTAACTAATTACCCCAAACAAGCATTTATTTTCTCCCCCAGTTTCTGAGGGTCAGGAATCTGAGGGCAGTGTAGTTTGGTGGTTCCGGCTCAGTCTGTCTTGAGGTTGTAGTCACGCCGTTGTGCTGGGCTGCAGTCATTTCAAGATTCTACTGAGGATGAAGAATCTGCTCCAGACACACTTCCATGTTGTTGGCAGGCCTCATTTTCTCATCACACAGGTCTTGCTATGAGACTGCTCACACCATGGCAGCTTCTTGCACCCTGGAGGGAGAGAGCAAGATGGAAGCCAGTGTCTTTTAATCTAATCTTGGAATTCTCATACCATCAATTGACCACATGCTAATGATGATACAAACCAACATTAAGTTAGTACCATGTGAGAGGGAACTAGAAAAGGGTGTGAAGATCAGGAAGTGGAGATCATTGGGGGCCATCTTGAAGGCTAGCAACCACGGTGTGGTACCATTTCCCAAACTCACTGATAATAACAGGGTAACTAGAGCTATAGCAGAAATAAAGGAATTAGAGACAAACTGGAGAAGATTGGACCCCAGTGCTATACTTATACAGTTTCCTTAACATCAGATGAATAAGTACTCAGGGAACATGAGAAAATTATACAACCAAAGTTTTACACGGTATACTAAACACAGTATTAGTTACCTTTATAATTTTCTTTTTTTGTTTTCAGCTGAGCCATCCTGCCACCTGTTGGCAGCTCAGCGGCAGCTCAGCTTGGGCCAGGAATCGAACCACTGTTGCTCAGAGCTCTCACTCTTGAGCAAGCTCTTAACCAACTGAGCCACTTGGCTGGCCCACCTTTATAATATTCTTAAACATCTGTGTATTAATCCATTCAGTTGAGACAGTATCTTTTTTTTAAAAAGATTTTTATTGGGGAATTGGGGGAAGGGGAACAGACAAGTTGCTATCCTTTTGCTCTTCAGTCTAGTTGTGGAGGACGTTGCTTCACTGGCCCAAGTTGGCACCATCATTGCGCTCTTCCCCGGGCGAGGCAGATCAGTCACCGGCTTCTGGA